GCACAACCTGAACTTTTATGATGGCAATTTTTGCATTTTTTCTAGCAGAAATATGAGACACAATTTAATTTTGATTGTTGCCTTTTAGTCACTGTCTTTTGAATAGATCTTATTAAGTCATACCGGTTTACCTTGGCAAACAGAGTACATTGTAGTAAGCAAAAGAAAGAGAAAATTAAACTACAACATAATGAATTATACTGACAAGAGTGTCACTCATTTTTTCTTACACAAATTGTGTTTGGATATTTAAAACTTAAAAGTACATAACTTATCAGTATTTTAAAGCAATTACCGGCCAGCCATATATGTTTTTTATTTTTTAAGCAAGACAAAGACATGGAAAAAAGGAGCTTCCTCCAGGAAAGATTTGACTTGTGGTGCTAGAAACTATTTTCTTACTGAGGATATTGGATTGCAGTCAGTAGCTACCTCTAACTTTATTATTTTTCCTGTTTCTTTCTTAATTAGGCAAGAGAGAGATCTGAGAATAAGAACAGCAAAACAACCAACCAACAAAAGTAGTTCTGTGGCTTCAGTTCAAAGACATCTTTTATTAAGCTATTGATTTGGAGCTGCTTGTTTTTCTGCCCTTTGTTCTTGCCATGTTTTTTCCTTTAGTGTCTTCTATCACACTGTGCTATTGCAATTGAGTGAGTTGTGTTTATTCCAATGCTTAAAGATTTGCTGTGCATACAGAACTGGGAGTACAGCCCTACAGCCCGTTTGTGCACACTCTGTGTAAATCAAATAGTGTGCAGAGCCCTAGAATATTGCTGTGGGTTACTGTGCCATAACCTGAACTGGAGAATATTCTGCCTTGGGGAAAAACAGCCTGCTGGATCTTGTCAGCTGTGCACTTAGGGAGGTGAGGAAGAAAATGATTAGATAACATCCTTATCTGTGAAGACCCGAGAGAACAGTTTTCCCTATTCACAAGCTATTGGCAGCAGTATCTACTCCAAACAAACAAAAAATTTCCCTGATAGAGCACATCATTCGGAAGCAAAGCAAGAGAGGTCAGAACACATTTCTGCAACACCAGAGAATCCTGGCCAGTCTGTACATGCTCACAGTTTGAGCTTGTCTAGCTAGAATGTCTTTCTTCTGTTTATACCTTTGAAAATGACAAGTTAGGACAAGGAAGGTGCTAAAGGAGAAAGCTGGGGAAAATGGATCTTGTCTCACACTGATGTCGTGTGGATGGGTGCTGGGGAGACCTCCCTTCACCCTGATAAGAGTGATCACTGTCTCAGCTTGTAACTAGAAGAGATTTTACATTTACTTCCTAATCAACAGTACATTAGTCTTGATATGGCAGTGGAGTGGTGTTAATTCAAATTAATCCTTTAGATGTCCCTGGTTTGTATTTTATTTTGGATACCTTAGTGAATGAGTTGCTCTGGATAGCCATGAAATACTGTTTTTTTTTAGCTTCCTGGCTGTGAAGGAGAGTCACTTTGTCTAATATTAGATTTCTAGGCTGGAGGCAAGAGCATCTTTATACTCAGTGGAAAGACATGATGATCTTACAGTACACAGTTCATCTGACCTATTGCAAACATCAATATTACAGTAAGGAATATGACACCAGAATACTCAATTCTACTGAATCTTAAAAAAGTCTAGACAAGTCACTTGTCCAAGTTAGCTGAAATGTATTTCATAGGATTAAAGACCTTTTTTTTAGCAAGGTAGCACTGATTACTCTTTCTGGATTCCTTAGGATCCTCTCTAAAGCCCTACAAATACATTCTGCATTATCTACTGGGAGCAAAATGTGTCACCTGTCAGGTGGGAAGAAGCCTGGTACTTAATTGGGTTTGTTCATTCACTTCAGAGTAAACTAAGGGGGGAAATTCTCTGTAAGGGAAAGTTCCAAAGACTCCCCAGATTGCATTTCCCCAGAAGCAAACCCTGTTGTTGCAAATAATTCAAGTTTATAAAAGCTTGCACCGTAATTTCAGTATTCTTGTTATTAATTTCTGTGATAAATTCTAAAAAAGAATAAGTTATTTTGCTATTCTTGAGAATGATTAAATTTAAGATATTAAATTATTGTGTCTACATGGAAACACAAGGTCAATCCACAGTAAAAAGTATCTGATAGAAAAAGATATTTTGCATTTTGATAACAATATCACAGTTGAGAGTTTTTGTTTCTTTCTTTATATCTTAGTTCATTGTCAATTTAAAGAAAAAAATTTCACTCATTTAAAGCTAAGTACAGAAGAAATTACATAAGCTTTTGGTTAGACCATGCCTTCAGTCCAGGACAAATCTGGGCTGCCACCAACAGGTGTAGTCCTCTTATTCCCATTCATTCAGGAACTTCCATAAATTTTTAATTCCCTGGCTTTGACACAGGTATATGCACAACTGGACTGAGAGTCAAATTGGAGACCATTGTGGCTGAAAAATAGCTGCAAACTTTGTGTTTTCTTATCTTTGTACAAGAAATAGTTGAAAATAGATGATAACAGATGATAACACAAGACATAAAGGTACTTTTTCATTCTGGGTGCTTAGCCAGTAGATTTGAACCAATGATAGGACAAATAAGGAGACTCTCTTAGACCCTCTGTTGGTTACTCTGCAGGATGAGTAGCTCAGTCAGACAAGGAGGCATAAAGGGGAGATTCTTCTCACTCAACCAAAATGAAAGTCTGGACTTCTCTTCTGAGTCCATCTGTGGCCAGTGGAGAAAGGCACCTCCAGAGGGCAATGTCTTCTCATTTTATCAAAAAATATCTAGAATGCATAGAACAAGTCACCGTGTGGCTTCACAGACCATTTTGAGAACAAGGTGACTAACTCAGGCTAGGAGCACAACTTTTCAGTGTCTAACTTAGGGAAAAGTAGATCATCTTCCAAAGGTCCTGCTGTATTCACAGAGGAAGTTTATGGCAGAGTTGAATTTCCATAGCTTCCTCTTTTCTACTACCATAACCCATCCCCCTTTTCAAAGATAGATCTTGGTTTAACAGAAAGAAGGGGATTGTGAACTCTGATTCGACTTCCAGGATAATGTGGTGGAATTTCAGAGACTTTAAAAGCTGGAGGAAAATGGTGGATCATTTTTGTCTGGCATCCTACCTAATACAGATTGCAAGGAATGTTTGGCTATCCTTGAATCCTATCATTTGCATGTCTTTAAAGAAAACTTGAGCCAAACTTAGAACTTCAACTTTTTAAATTTTAATTTGGCTTTGTTTCAGGAGAGAAATGTGTTTCTTTGGGTTTCTGCTGTAAGAGAGTTTCAGGCTGACCACTTTTGCACTTATTTCTTCATGCATTGTGAGTCAATGCTTAGTCATCTTTGCTTCAGTCAGCAGTTGCTAAGCTTTCCATCAGTTGTTTCTCTAACACCTCTGATGTTAGATTTCCAAGAAAAACCTGTTGATACAAGTAGGGAAACAAGGTGACCCTAGCCTTAATAAAAACTCATAAAATAAATGTCTTTGTGACCATACAGCTAGTGGAATATTGGAAAAGTGCTATCCCCAGTTTTCTAATTCTAATCTGGAGTGTGAGACTAAATACAAGGATCTGTGGTGAAGTTTTGTACCCTTCTTACCAGCAGTCCTCCAAACAGTTCCTGGGCACAATTTGGGAACTAGAACAGGCCAGTCAAAGAAGGCAGCTCAGACATAGTTACACTCTGTTGGAAGGGGACAGAGTTTAATAGAACATAGCAGATTACATAATATTAAATTAATAAATAAATCATCAGGCTAGGGTTTTGCAAGATGATTTCTATGCCAGAGAAACAGTCCCTCTCACTTTTTATTTACTGATATAGACTTAGCCATGGGACTGCTACCAGACAATAGAATATTTCCAGAACTGAGGTACTCAAGGGTCTGTGCAACTACACGAAACTAGAAGTCTAGGTGAAATTTGGACCCATAGCAGTTTACCTGCAGATGCTGCTCCAGAGTTGTCACAACTTCTGGGACAATTGAGGTCCCTGGAGTCGTAATAGCACTGCAGCTTTGCCTAGCATGGTGTGTACAAGGGGTCCAAAGACAGCACAGTTTTGGATTGCAGCAGAGTTATAGGAGAATTCAGATGTTTAATTAATTAATTAATTGATTAAATGTCAGGAAATTTAATTAGCACACAAACTTCAAAACTTATAAATTTCACTGGGAGTTTAATCAAAAGTGATATGTTTGCAAAGTGTATATCCTTTTCAAAGCCTGCCTTTTTGTAATGAAAAGGCATTCTGACTCATTATATCTAGTCAGATCTAGACAGAGGAATACCTCCAAGAAAGTATAGTAATATTATGTAGCATTAAGATGTATAAAATTCATCCATTTGGTAATAAGTTACAATAAATTTAATAAGTCCAAATAAATGTGAATTTTATACTTTATTGGACTTTGTATTACTTAAGTTTCCTTCCTTGATATTTTTATCTGGTACATCAAAGAGCCCTTTAATATCCAGTGTTTTCTGTCTTGGGAGGTACTCAATGATATAATCAAGTTTCCTCTTGAACTTCTTTCAAGTAGTGTAAACTGATCAAGTTCCTGGTAGTCTCTGCTGCATGACTTTCTGTTCAAAATGAAAGTACATTTCAGACTGATGAAAATAATTTTTGTCAGTGTCACTTTCTTATGAATTACTCTTCAAGAAGCATAAGTTGTATGAGTCATACTGAAAACATATTTTCCTCCTTTCAATGACCCAGTTCAGTCCCAATGATCTTGACTGGGAAAGCTTTTCATTCCTTTGGCATTGATTTTCAGTGAGGCATCTAAAGAACTGACAGAAAGCAAATCTGGGTTTGAGGAATCACTTGTTATTAACTAAGGTTACGTCTAATAATATATAAGATTTAGAGTCATTTGCCTTCTTGTTTTCTTCACCCTGATCAGAATCACAAGTTTGGATATATCAAAGTTTTGAGAGTCAAAGTAAAACTGACAATTTCTACAAAGATGTCAACCAGACTAACATTAGAGTAACTCTGCTTCTGCTGATTTTTCTAGGTATAAAGATTTGGCTGATACAGTAGCAGGAGAGAAGAAGAAGTTGAGTGCCAAGGAGAGATGTCGTCTTGTTCTTCAGCAATGTAAATTACAAGGCTGGCAGGTTTGTGATCTACAAAGCAATTAAAATATCATTCTTTAAACAAGCTAGCAGAGTCATTTCCATTGGTGGCAAGCCACCAGATCCTTTGCAGCAGTGTATTCTTTTGACATTTAATATATGCTTAGGTAAATTATCAAACTGATTTTCAGAGTTTTATGAGTAGCTGTGATCATTGTGTCAAAAAAATCAGAGTATTCTTGTGGGAAGAAAAAGATTCAATTAACCATGCACACTGTACATATTTTTATCCAGATTTTTGAAGGTATTTGGTATATATATTTTAGTGGTTGAACGGTTCCTGAATAACCCTACATATTTTATTTCTTTAAAATCTTATGCTAAATGCTCTACTGTCATAACAGGCAGACTCAAAACAGCTAATTAGGATTTCCCAGGTAGTCAGTGCATTTGTAGGTGCCAGCATGCTGAGCCAGAGATACAGCAGAGAACCTGAGGTTACCGAACATCAAGTAAAGTTTAGAAAAAGAAAAAAACAGTACCAAACACTAAACAGGAAACTATCAACTCTCTATCCTGTCTCCTTATCCTATTTATATCCTAGTTAATTCTCACTAGTATGAAGAGTGCAAGGTGGATGTCTCCATTTGTCCAGAGTACTCAGTTATCTGCTTTGGATAGTTTTTTTAATTGAGTAGGACTGATTTCTTTTATATATGCATTTTAAAAAGAAAAACGTATTTCCTTGCATAGTATAGAAGCTATTGAATAGAAATGAAGCTTTCTGTGGCTTCACATACAGAACATTCCTGCAGGCAGTGTGAGCTTTAGATTCAGGATTTTTTCCTGCCTAGCAGGACTGAAATCTGTTACACAAGAGAGCATCCAGACCAATTTCAGGGACAGCTGTGAAGTTAAGGGATTGGACAGTGGTTAGGCACTCCTATAGGCTTCTTAAGTTTAAAGAATGGAGTCTTCTAATTAATGTATGACCTCTGAGTATTGGAGGTTTTTATTGCCCAGAAGAGTTTCTGCAACACGTTTATAAAGACCAAGGACTAAGTCAGAGTGTGTGCTATGGGTATTTCTCAGAGGCCCAGATTCCTTAGTAACAACAGGAACAAAAGTAGGCCCCCACTAGGATGGGAGTACATGATCACCTGCACTCAGATACATAAAGAAAATTTTTATTTCATCAAAATACTGTTTCGAGCTGCAGTTTAGCCACCAAGAAAAGTAGAGGGCACATATAGCCCCTCTCCCTCAATAGAAGAGACCAAGAGACTGAAAAAGATAACAATATTAAACTAGACTTGCTTTTCCTACCCAAGTTTTGTAAGTTTGCTCTGATCTATGTGCTGCATCATTGCTACAAGTTTCCCTATAAAAATACCTAATCATTAACATCTAGAAATGGTACCTTCACTTACAAGTACCTTGAGATGAGAGAGCCTCTCACCTTTAGAACTTATGTGGGGATACAAGCTTGATATTGGACAAAAGCTGTGTAACAGTAATTGTATAGTGTGCTCCAGTCATGAAACACAGAGCAGGATGCCTATCAAATTTATTTCCCCAGAGAACAACCATTGTTAGAGCATAGAAAAAAAGCAGTTGGTCATTAGTGAAAGCATAGAGCTCAAGACTAGTGATTCTGTAGTGACAGGCATTTGAAAGCAAGCCTGAAACCTTGGAAGACAAATATTTTAAAAGGAAATCACAAAACAGAATCCTTCCATCATGTAGAGGACTGAAGCTTGTGATCTCAAACAGACTTTAGAAGTTCTGACTCCAGAATCTCATTAATTCCAGGAGAAGCCAGGTGTGCAAAACTACAGCAGTGCATAATGCATTATCCCTCACGCCAGAAAGGCACAAAACTCTTTAGAGACACTGATAAGTTAAATGGAATAGGAAGGTTTGGGGGTGAGAGTTATACCATTGTCACTCAGTGACTAAGAAGCACATGGCAACAGACTAAGCTGCAAGGATCAAGGTTTGAAAAAACAAGTGACCTTCTCGGTGCACCTTCTTCCAGCCACAGAGAGATTTAAAAAACAAATGGAAAGATGCAAAGCGTAGAAGAAAATGTAAGAAGAAAATTCACTCTAAGTCAAATTTCTTAAATATCCGGTGAATACCAGCTTGGTATCAACCTATTTTGTATAGGTGATTCAAAACCACATACCTAACTATCAGCAGTAGTGACTAATGTCTGTGTCACATAATCTCTCTCTCAATTATCGTTTTGATTCATTTGACTAATCATGAAAGTTGAACTTTAAATAACAATCTAAATGAAGAAGCTTACACAATCTGCATTTGTCATGGATGCTCTCCTCTATGCTTTTACAGCAGAGGACTGAAAAAAAGTAAACATTTAAAAGGTAGAAAGAGGGGGGAGAAAAGGAAAGAAAAAAAGGAATTAGGAAGCAAGGATGATGTCAGGTAGCAAATTCAGAAGAAAGGAGTCATCTGTAGTGCATTACTAAAAATCATCCAAAAAGCAGGGGGTTACACATATAACTAGTTTATTCAGCCACTGTTGCCAGCAGTAACTACTTCAAATGAGTCACTGCTGGAACTGAATATCTATTTGTTGCAGGAGTTCATGAATAAATCAAAAATTGTCTTCCCCAACACTATTACATGCACTTCCCTGAAGAGCTGTTGCAAATTCAGGTAAAAAAAATGAACCAAAAAGATAGCTAAAACGCCCTCATCAAAGATGATGATATTTAGGAGAATGCAACACAGATCTGAAATCAACCTCCTGCTTATATGTCATCCTTAGAAGATGAAGTTGCCAATAAGCTTAAGGGCAGAGGGGGAAAAAGAAAGATCTGGAGTTTTTAGCTGAGTGAATCTGGATGATTCTTTATTTAATTTTCTTCTGATAATGTATCTCACCATCCCATTTTGTGAAAGGTGATATTAACCTGGGGAAGGGAAAAGTGTTCTGAATTAAAATCCCTGAAAATGAGTAAAGAAAATGGTATCTTTGTACTTATTTCCTGCTGGAGAATTTATCTTTTCCTTCTCACATAAGCTATGTTTGAAGAGTGTTTTATTAAGCTACAAAACAACAAAGCTCAGACCTTACTCACAGAACATCTTCTTTCTTCTCTTGTAAATACTGCAGTCTGTTTTCAAATAGACAAAAAGTGCAGAAGATCCAATACCAGTCCAATTTTGGTATATTTTCTACTGTTCAGCAGAGCATAAGAGCAAACACTATTAGTCGGCCAATGTCTTGTGCTTGCTTCACCAGCTTAAGTGTTAGAAGAAAGTATTTATTATCACAGAATAATTAGGGTTGGAAAAGATCTCCAAGTTCAGCCTTTGACTGAACACCACCACATCAACTAGACCACAGCACTAAGTGGAATGTGTAGTTGTTTCTTGAACACTGCCAGGAATGGTGACTATACCATCTCCATAGGCAATCTGTTCCAATACTTCATCACCCTTACAGTGAAAAAATTCTTTTTAATGTCCAATCTGAACCTCCTCCAGCATAGCTTGAGGCCATTTCCTCTTGCCCTGTCACCACTTGTCTGGGGGAGAGGCAAATCCCCACATTGCTACAACCTCCTTTCATTGTAGCTGTAGAGTGATAGGGTCCTCCCTGAGCCTCCTTTTTTCCAGGGTAAACAATGGAAGCTCCCTCAGCTGCTCCTCACAGGAGCACTCCAGATCCTTCACCAGCTCCATTGCCCTTCTCTGAACATCCTCCACAACCTCAATTTCTCTGTTGGAGTAAGGGGCCCAAAACTGGACACAAAATTCGAGGTGTGGCTTCACCAGTGCCCAATACAGGACAACTGGCCTTCTTGGCCATCTGGGCACACTGCTGGCTTATGTTCAGCCAACTATCAACCAGCATCCCCAGGTCCTTTTCTGCCAGACCGCTTTCCAGACATTCTGACCCAAACCTGAAAGGCTAAATGGGTCTTGGCCCATTGATCCAACCTGCCCAGATCCCTCTGCAGAGCCTTCCTGCCTCCAAGCACACCAACACTCCAACCCACCTTGGTGTCGTCTGCAAACTTACTGGGGGTATCTCTACCCAAACCATTGATAAAGATATTAAATAGGACTGTCCAAGCCATGACCTGACAGCTTTTCCAGGAGAATGTTGTGGGAGACAATATCAAAGGTTTTACTGAAATCCATGTAGACAAACAACCTCTTCCTCATCCACTAGACTGGTCAACTGGTCATGAAACAAGATCAAGTTGGTCGGGCAGGACCTGCCTTTCCTAAATCCCTGCTGGGTGCTGATGCCCTGATTGTCCTATACGTGCTGCATGGTGGCACACAAGATGATCAGTTCCATAATCTTCCCTGGCACTGAGGTCAGACTGACAGGCCTGTAGTTTCCCAAATCCTCCTTCAGGTCCTTATTGTAAATGGCATCATATTGGCCAAGATCTCGTGTCTGGGACCTCCCTGGTCAGCCAGGACTGATGATAAATGATGGAGAATGCTTTCACAAACTCTTCCACCAGCTCCTTCAGTACCCCCAGATCAACCCCATCCAGTGCCCTCTGAGTGTCCTGAGTGGGACAATAGGTCACTAAATACTTCCTCTTGGGTCGCAAGGAGTCTATTCTGTTCCCTGGCCCTGTCTACCAGCTCACGAGGCTGGTTGCCTTGAAAACACCTAGTCTTTCTGTTGAAGACTGAGGCAAAGAGGGCATTAAATACCTCTGCCTTTTCCCCTTTTCATCCAAAAAAAGAATGGAGATTTTCCTTGGACCTGTTTTCTTGTTAATGAATTTATAGAAACTATTTTTATTATCTTTCCCAGGTTGGCCAGATTGAGTTCTAGCTGAACTTTTGCCTCTCTAAACCTTTTTTTCTAGATGATCTAGTGACATCCTTGTACTCTTCCTAAGTTGCCTGGCCCTTCTTCCAAAGGTTGCAAACTCTCTTTTTTTCCCTGAGTCCCAGTGAAAGCTCCCTATTCAGCCAGGCTGGTCTTCCCTGCTGCCTTGTTTTTTGTCATGCAGGGACAGAAGTGTTGATAGCTTTATGAA